ATGGGGTGTTGCACCTGGCCCTAGTCTGGCAAGAATGTATCTAATGACATCTTCATCAATCATGGGGTGACCAATATTTGACATAGTATCTTCAAAGTTGGTCATTTTGTGATAATATTCAGAGGTCGTCATATCTCCTTTCTTAGTTGTGGAAAGTTGGGCGCGTATTTGAATGGAGTTGCCACGATTTTGGGCTGAAAATTTTTTGTGGAGGGATGTCTAGAGTTCGATGGATGCATTTCAACATCTTGTGATTTGAGTAAGCACTTCTTTTGTCATGGAGGATTGAAGATCACCGATAATCGCCTGATCTTGAACCCATGCAACATATTGGGGGTTGTCAATTTCACTGGCGTCTACACCTGTTCCTGAGGTTATTTTGGCAATGGGTTTCGGTGTGGTACCATTAAGATACCCAAACAGTTGAACACCTTGCAATATGGGAAAAACTTGGGCTTTTCATAGGAGAAAATTGGTTGGAGTGAGTTTGCATGAGAGGATAGTGGCGATCTTGGAGGAGTTTATTGAAGACATGGTGATGGCGAATATGATAGAGAAGATCAAAACGTCGGAAGATGCTGAGAAAATTGACAAGCCCTAAGAGGGATCTGGTACCAAGTTATAGAAGTAATTTTCCATGAATACCTCGTAGGGCTATACATTCTACATATATAAATCATGTTACACAGTTAGATATAAACACAAGATCCTAAACATATATATCTTATAGTTTGAATAATACATTTGAATACTCCTATCTCTAACTTATCCGTTTACATGGCATGCTTTTACATGGCATGCTAAAATGATGTTTGATTTTTTAATACATATCCAAATTAGCAGTTTTCAAAATCCTTATATATAGTATTTTTATAGTTACAGTAGATAAATCATTGAAATCTAAGCCCAAAATCACTTTACATATTACCATTACCATTTATGATAATGATGATCGAAAGCAGAAATTGGATTGTGCGTAATTCTTCCCAACAAATGAACCTTCAACAACTTTACGATACAGTTGTTATCTTTTACTTTATGATTTTGAGTAACACATTCATTAGTAATCTTATTCTTCCACAGGACCAACCAACACAAGATATTTCACCATGAAAATAGTTCATGGTGGAAACTTCTCAGAAACCAAAAACCAATCCTACATGAAGTGTGTAATCGATTATGTTGACTTTGTAAACATAGACGCTTTTACATTGGATATTCTACTTAAAATCATCATCTCTTTGAGATATCGTTTCATGCATATTTATGTTACTCATGCTAAATAGATTCTTCTTTCGATATTGAGTTGATGTGACTCAAATTCACCAAGGTTATTAATCCGTTTTGGATGAAGATAGACAGTGAGGGATTCTAAAACATCTAGGAGGTATTTGTTGAACACCTCCTTCCCATTGTGTTTGATTTTTATCCTGATACTCTAAATTAGGCTTCAAAAGAGTATCTTCCAGATCTTCTAATTAACTTTGTAGAAGATAACCCCTCAACAAATTTCTGGATTTCCAGAAACTTCATGCATCGTACATATGGTGTTTGGATTAAGGAAGAAAAACTAAAATAAGCTTTAGAATATACAAGGGTGAAAGTGATGTGGTTCAGAGGAAGTTGGATGTATTAAGTTAGAGAATTTATGTCTTTTGCATTTGCATGTTTATGTTTATAAGGGTTTGGATATTGCACGTTATTTTGATGTAACAATTTATTGACCAAGTATGAACTAAAATTGAATACGTTACCTTTATAGTTTAACATATTATGTTTTACTAAGTCAATTAATTAACCTCTAGGGGTATGGAGTGACCATCTCATATGAGAGGTTAGGATTCAAGTCTCATTAGAGACATAGGTGATTATTTAGAGCTAGATTAGTTAGTTTGCTGTTTAAAAAAAAAAAATTAATTAACCCCTATTTTAGTTTTAAAGGAATCCGACCATCAGATCTCCAATTTTTAAAAGAAAAGTTTGAACGATAGGTAAAGTTAAATTCTATAGTACTATTACTTAATTACCGGTACATGCACTATTCTCACCCGCTGCAAAACACATGGAATCTTCTAGTTATAAAGAAAGACATAAACGTTAAAGAGAATTGATTTTTTGATACCGACAAAAAATTCTTTAATGGGAGTTGACCCATACGCGATAGTTTTCTCTATACACAACAATTTATGTTTTAAAATGTTGGATTGTACACTCATATAAAGCATAAATTGTGTATTGAGAAAAATTATCATATATGAATCACTTCTTGTAATACTAATGAAAAAAGGACCTTGAAAATGACTTCTTGAAAATGACGTTAAGATTATGTAAAATTTTATTTATGATAGAAGATTATTTTACAATTTTCGGAATTCTTATAATTTCTTGACGTTGAATGGGCTAATATGTTTCACTACAAGAAAAATACTAAATAGCTACGAAAAGTTACTATGGAATCAAAATCCGTTGCTATTTTACTACGGAATATGCTACGGAATGATTTGTCGTAGCTATTTTGCTACATAAATGGTTACGGAATTGCATTACGTAGCTAAATCTTAAATAGCTACGTAAAGTTGTTACGGAATCTAAATTCATAGTTATTTTAATACAGAATATGTTACAAAATGGTTGATTGTAACTAATTTGCTACGAAAATGGCTACGAGATTGCATTCCATAGCTAAATCTTGATTAGTTGCTACGGAATTAAAATTCGTAGCTAGTTTACTACAAATAATGCTACAAATTTTGGTTGTAGCTAGTTCTCTATGAAACTTGTTACAAAATCCATGTATGTAGCTAGTTGGCTACATAAATGGCTACAAAATAAAAAACCGTAACAAGTTAGCTATGAAATTAGATTCCGTAGCCATTTTGCTAGGAAATTTGCTACAAAATAAATTTTTGTAGCTAATCTATTATTGAATCTGTCACAAAAAAGGTAAATTTTCAAAATAGCTATGAAATCAAAATCCATAGGTATTTGGCTACGGAAAATTTCGTAGTGAAATAGTTACGGAATATGTTTTCGTAGCAAAATATAGAAGATTTTTGAAAAGATAAATTAAAAATGCACAATTATTTTTGAAAACTCAACAACAAAATTAAAATAATATTTTTAATTGTTTTTAAATTTTAATTATAATATAATTTTTACATTATAAATATTTTAGCTTCAATTTTTAGATTTTTGATGACATACATTTACTAATTTTCTTATAATAATATTATCCCGACTTGAAAATTATTACCTCTAAATCAAAATTTATTTACCCTTTATTGTACTAGTTGTTCTAAAAAAAAGAATTAAAATGTTTTATTTTGACTTTTTAGTTAAAAAAATAATGTTTGAGTTTGTTTCAATAATGTTTCATTAGGGGCAAATTAGTAAATTCAATAACCCCAATTTACTTCTTCACAAATTAGGCGTATTTTTGTTGAAACTGTAAGGACCATATGCGAACATTATTCTCTCTTCCCCAAATTTGTTACTAGATGTGAATGAACAAACCACACGGCAGTAGCAAAGCAAAACAACAACAACCCCTAATTGTAGATGCAAACTTAATTTTGACCCAAGTATAAGCATTCAATGCGAAACCCGATCGTCCCCAACGCATTTAACATCCCTGCTGCGAACAGCCAAAATCAGTCGAACCATATTTGACTCCAAAAAGTCAACTCCAAATCAAATTCATAAATTCGTTCATGAGGTGAACCCCCTGCGCAACTATTGAGATCCTCACAAGGCTTTCATTATTAGTAATAAATATTTTCATTGTTACTCACGTGTGTGATTTTTTTTTTTTTGCAGCCTTTTATTCATTGATGTCTCAATAATGAGACCCCCCCCCCCCTGCAACTGTTGCAATCTGATATGCTAAATGTCATTAATTTGTTATTTTTGACTATGTTTTTACTTCTCAGACTCTCTAATTCGCAATCTGATATGCTAAATGTCATTAATTTGTTCCCATAAACTCATCATTTTTTGAGAATAAGTGTTCTTGGAGTAAAGTTCTTTGGTTCCATTTAATAACTCAGATTGTAGGATTTCCTTGATACAGATTTAAATGTTATAGATTAAAAAGTTTTTGAAAGATTTGAAAAATGATGTGAGAGAGAGAGAGAGAGAGAAAAAACCTGGTTGTTGGGCGAGATGAAGGGTGAGGATGAAGGAGCCAAAGACAGAATGCATCTCTAATGATGCAAATAAGGAGAGTAACTGGAGGGTAAAAGGGTAAATTAGTATAAGATCATAAACATCATTGTTTCACTAAAGCTACATTATGAAATACTTAAACACATGTCAACTATTAAAGAAAGTAGAACATTTTAAAATGGTTTTTAATGCAAGTAACAAATATTGCTATGATAATAAGAGTATATAAGAATGAAAGAGAATAGCCTTGTCACCTCAAATAAAAGAATACCAAGGTTGTAGATATTTGCTGATAATGATTCCATTCCATAGAGCTCCTCTGGACAAGCATACCATATTTTTCAAGTTCAATAGTTACAGAGTACAACTCTTTCCCTTGTTGAATATGTTTTCTGTTACTTTGAAAACTATTTAGTAATTTGACAAGAAGGGTAGAGTTGGAAATATGAAAAAGAGACAAAGAAATGAACTTATTAGTAATTATTAGTAGTGAAAGTTGGTGAATAAGCATATAATCTAGAAAGCATGTTATAAGTTATATTTAGAGCAAAGGGCATAACTGACAATTTTTCAAAGTATGATGTATTATAGGAAAAGAACTTAAAATTAGGATGTTTAATAGAAAAAAAATTGAAAGTAGGGTGCTATATTACACACTTTTTGGAGAGTAGGTTGTTCTATCTTGACGAGGATATGGAGTTAATTAAATACTTGCATGTTATTTTCTTAGATTAATATTTTCATTTCAAGAAGTAAGGTTAGTATGTTTGTTTCCTAATCTTTTATTATTCCCTGATTACACCTAGTTTTTGATATTTGTGTGCAGATATAATAAAATGAGCAATAGAAATAGAAATTGGATGTATGAACGACTTGATGATCGTGGTCATGTCTCTCATGTTTTCATTAATGGTGTGAAAACACTCATCGAGTTTGCTTCTACTAAGCAAAGTTATATGGATGGAGATAAAATTAAATGCCCATGCACAAAATGCAATAACAAAGCATATGAAGCATTTGATGAGGCAAAATATCACTTATACAAGTTTGGTTTTGTTCCAAATTATGGGTTTTGGGATAAACATGGAGAAACATCATTGGATAGTATTTCCTTAGGGATGAATGATACATACACGAATTTAAATGAACACCATGATCCTACTTATAGAGAAATGGTTATGGATGCAGCGGGTCCTGATTTCATGACTAGAACTCTTGATGAGGAGGCAAATCCAGAAGATAAGAAGTTTTTTGATACGCTAGAGGCAGCCGATAGAGAGTTGTGGCCTGGTTGTAAAAAGGCGACACAACTATCTGTTGTAGCTCGACTATTGAATATCAAATCAGAATATCGCATCCCTGAGTTATGTTTTGATGCCATTTGTCAATTGATAAAAGATGGGTTACCAGAGGAGAATAACATAGTTGATAGTTTATACGAGAGCAAAAAGTTAATACAAGCATTGGGTTTACCAGTGGAATTGATTGACTGCTGCAGGTCTGGATGTATGATATATTGGAGGGGTGACAAAGATCTTGATCGGTGAAAATTTTGCAACGCACAAAGGTACAAATAAAAATAAAAATCTACTTTAATATTGATTTTTTTTGTATATATGTAGAAGAAGCTTTGGGGATATGATCCGGCACACCATGAACTATTCTTGTATACACACACTAAGAATCACGATGGAGTGACTTTTTTAGTTGACAAAGCTAAAAAAATTCATGTAATTTTATTTTTAATAATTTCATGTAAATTTTTTTATTGATTTTTTTTTTTTTGTATAAGTTTTATCTGAACACAATTATAAAATTATAGGATGGTTTTATGGAACGATGTGATCGCTTGGAAGCAATAGGAGAGGAAATTGATGAGGACAAAATATTTTATGATGTTGTTGGGGGACATGATCGAAAAAAGAGATTATATGGATTTGGCTCATATGGAAAGCACATTCGTTCTAGTAAAGGATCTTCTGAAATGCATCGCGAACAATACGAGGATAATAATGCCGAGACAAAAGTCAAGATTGAGAATTTGAAGAAGTTAGTTGAGACACAACGCGAACAATATGAGGATATTCAACAAAAATATGAGGATGTTCAGCAAAAATATGAGGATGCTCAGAAAAAGAATGTGGAGTTTCAACAGAAAAATGTGGATGTTCAAGCAAAGTTTGAACAACAACTTGCACAAGCAATGAATGTCATTAACACATTGAGTGAACAAGTCAAAACTTTTATTAAATAATGATAGAATATTTTGTATCGAATAATGTTTTACGTTAAATTTGTAGCGACTTTTAATTTTGAAATATGTATATTTTGATGTATTGGATATTTCTTTTAGTTTCTATAGAAATACTTTGTTGTTTTTGGTTTTATATTAATTGTATTTTTGTAAATTGATATAATAAGTCAAATTAAATAACCGAATTTTATAGAAAAAATGGTATTGAACAATTGTTATGGAATTGACTACAAAAAATTTGTTACGGAATTTGCAACGGAATGAATGGCTACGGAATTTGTTACGGAATGAATGGCTACAAAATTTGCTACGGAACAATTGGTTATGGAATTTGCTATGGACCAAATGGCTACAGAATTTGCTACGGAACAATTAGCTACGGAATTTGCTACGGAATTTGTTACGGAACGAATGGCTACGGAATTTGCTACGACCAAATGGCTACGAAATTTGCTATGGACCAAATGCCTACGGAATTTGCTACGGAACAAAATAGATACGGAATTTGCTACAGAACTCATTGTTACGGAATTGTGATGGAAGTGTGTTGTAGTTGAAATGCTACGGATAGACGTCGTAGCAACGGCCATAGCAAAATTGCTACGGAACTATAATTTCGTAGTTAAACATTTTGCTACAAGAAATCTTACTATGGAATCTCATTGGCAAATTCCGTAGCAACTTCCGTAGTTATTTAGGTTTAGCTACGGAATTACATCATTTTGGTACGGAATTTTTCCGTAGTTAAATCGAAATTTTCTTGTAGTGTTTGACTATGTCAAGAATATTTATTTAGTGTTTAATAATTATCTTTTATGGCTAAGAACATTTTTTTTTTCAATTTTATAAATCAAGCATATAAAATAAAGAAATAAAGAAATGCACAACACTATTTATAAATAAATGTTTACCCTACAAACCATAAATTCAAAGCCAAAAGCCTAAAAAATAATCGAAAATTAAAATACATTACCATTTACACAAAAATATTACGCCTAGAAACAAAAATCAACTAAGTTTTAGGTTGAAAACTCATATTTAAATTGATCCATACACAATCCCCAATATGTATGAGTCATTTTATGATGAAAAGTCACAGCGAATTGAGGGCACACTCCTCAATTCGCTGTGACTTTTCATCATAAAATGACTAGAAACTAATTGCCCTCAATAAATAGATATGGGAACCTCATAACCATTAGGTTGAGATATAGCCTATGAAATACCTTATCATTATATTTTGATATGCAAAATGTTAGCTAATACTCTCAGCCATAGACGCATGTGGTGTGACCAAAATATCCTGGCCATCGTAGAGTGTGAATGAACCACCTAGAGGCATCATAAGCTATAGTGTAGTTTTCTTCTATTTAAAAAAAATTAAGAAAATATTTTTGAATTTTTATTTTTCAAAAGAACATAAATAAATAAATAAATATTTTTGGATTTACTTGATATTAAAGAAACCAAAAGAAAATGTTTTTGTGAGATATTTTTGGATTACTTTACGTACGAAAACAAAGTACAAGTACAGAAAGTAATGACGGAAAAAAATCTTAAAAAAACTTGCAAAGTTAAAAGAGTGTTGGAAATTCAAAGGAAAAAAAAAATTCATTCCTACAAAGTTTGAATCTCATCATAAGCAAATAAGCTAATTCTTCATAAAAGAGCACTTCAGAATTTTGAACCATTTAAAAGTTGATTCCACCGTTTCATTAAGAAGATTCATTGAGTAATATTTGGAAGCTGATATGCTTAAAACATACCGCTTTGAGACTACTTACAAGCAAACAAATTATACTATACCCTAAGAAAAATGGTTGATTCGCAAAAGAGAAGAGCTCATAACAGAAAATTAATTTGGGTAATTGCGTTATTTTCCTTGAAAATAACGAAAGGAATTTTCCAGAGATTAAACCTAATACTGTACACTAGCCATCATATTTATCATATTTATCATATTTCCAGAGATTAAACCTAATACTGTACACTAGCCATCATATTTATCAAAGTATTATATGATTTATCTTACGGTCAATTAAACTTCCTCCTTATTTGACCATAAGTTGATACTATTGAATCAAATATTTACTGACTTAACATGTGTATCAATTTATTATTCATGTGATAAGTAAAATGATACCTTAGAAAGATAATACTTAGATTGCTACCTTATCGAAATGAAATGGATCGTAACTTAATGAATTCATCAAATATAAGACTTTAATTATGTAATTATAAACTGAAAACCAGATTTACGAAAGCGTAGGACCCTTATATCCTTTCACATGAGAAGGTTAATTCAGAAAGATCTTACGCGGTCATCAGAAGAGGCATAAACTAGAAATCGCCTCTTTCGAAATGCATAATCCTTTAACTTTTCACTAAAACATCCCAAAATTCAATCATTTTTTTTTAAATTCAGAGTATAAGTTTTAATAATAGGTTTTATTCATAATCATTAATAAATCATGAAAGCATTGTATCACGTCACATCAATATAATTATCATAAAATGCAGAAGCTATGTCTTGTTTTGAAAACCATAACATAACATAAAATGGATAAACTAGATGACATGCCTTTCCGAGTATATCCAAATACCACAATCAAACCATCTCCTTCCCATTCGAACCTAAAGGTCCTATAACTAATAACAGAAGGTAGCATCTATAATCCCAATGCTTAGTGAGTAAACATAATACTTACTCATTACGCAGATCATATGTAGTACATAACTTAGCACTTAACAATAAGCAATAATTCACATATTAGTTTACATTCTATCATATAACATATTCTAGCATAATCATAACCAATATACGACTAGAACTTCCCTTCGACCTGTTATTCTTTAGAAGCACATATATTTCACGCACACTTCCCTCCGAGAGGCTATTCGTGATCCTACATACTACCACGAGATAACTATAACTTCCCTTCGAGAGGCTATTTTCTAGTTGTTTCGATCATCCTGACCATACTTCCCTCCAAGAGGTTGTTCGTGGACATACATAGTTAAATAGTCCATATAATAAGGAAGTTCATGAGAACTAACCTAAATAAAAGACAAGATGAAATCCACAAACTTAAGTTAGTGTTATCAAGTCTTTCCTTAAACTACACAATAAAGAATCATAATTTAGCAATTAAACTAAAATACTCAACTACACTTCCTTATCAAGTCTAGGTCCAATAAATAACCATATGCAAAAGACCATTTTGCCCCTCCATGATCCAAACCGAACATAGTTGACCAAAGTCAAGCTTGGTCAAAATTTCAAGTGTCCACATCATCTCGTTACAACCAACACTGGGTCACGGTGCTATTGTTGGGTGATAAAATAGTCATCATCCGCTCGAACATTATAGCGTGACCAAACCTCATATCGCGGTTTGATTTTGGTAGAACAGCCAACTTCCAACTAAGGTCTTAATCCTTTTATACTTAAGCTCTAAACCTACATAACACATCAAAATATGGTCTTAATGGATAAAGTTTACAACTTTATCCATTTCCATGTCCTTAACACCATCATACCAAGTCTCGGTTAAAAACGGAACCAAAAAGCTCTTAAACTCATGCATGAACCAAATGATAAAACCCTCATCTTCATACCATAAAGGGCCCATAAAATATAAAAATACAACCTTTAAGGCTGGAGTTCCTCAAACTCCAACCAAACATCAACCAAAAGACCAAAGCATGCATAAAATCGTAGAACTGGACCTAATAACTCATAAAGCTTCAAGCTTGAAGACTTATCTTGGTCTAGAAGATACCCACACGGTTAGATATGACTTGCTTCTTGCTTCATAAAATGCACCCCATTCTCATTCAAGGTGCATAAAAAAGCATGAAAGGCTCAAAATCAAAGAATAGAGGCTAGTGTTTGTTATGGATGATATGAGGGTGATAGAGGTTAAGGGTGGAGAAAACCCTAAACATTACATCCTTTAATAGGGTTCAAAGCCTGAAATCTAGGGTTTTGAGTCTAGGTGGCTTCACGGCACGACATGTGGCACGTCCAGCACGTCGTGACTCAAGGTTCTCACGGAGCAAAGCACAAAAATCCCCAAAGCTCAAAATTTAACAATTCAATCAAATGATTAATTCATACTTGAAAAATGGGTGTTACATTCACTAAAGAAGGATAACATGTTTTCTCTGTAGCTCATATCCTCACCCACTCTAAGCTTTATGGTCCTTATGTATAAGATATCAACTTTAGTGTTGAAAATAATTTATTTGTAACCATCCATGGAAAGTGGACCCACATGAATATAATACCTTTCGAATGGTTGGTCATATCATATCACCTCCAAAAAAAAGTAGAAGTTCTATAAAATAAGGTGTGATTGTTGCTAAAATCAGGTCACTCATTGCTTTTACGATCAAGCATAATTACATTTAAATACATATGTGCTAGAACTAATGTAATATTTTTAATTTGTTTTTTATGCAAATAAAGTTATACATATTAAGATGCTTCTGAGATATCAAAGATATCTTCGATATCTGTAAATCGTCGATGAAAGAAACACAACCATTTGTCATTATATATAAGTAATACTAGAATGTATATATATATATATATATATATATATATATATATATATATATATATATATGATTTGAATTGACGTATGTATTAAGTATTATTATGTGTAAATAAAATCTTAAACAAATAATACATGTAATTACGAAACCATGGATATAAAGAACGTCAAAAAGGAATATCGTATGAGAAAGATACAATTATCTAAAGAAAATGATACAAGTGAACATGCAACATATGAACTGTGATCGTTAAGTTAAAATGTAACTGTTTGGTTATGAGCATAACATCAATCTTATGGTGTTCATGCAACCCTATTTGCTTTGATCTAGGTTTTTCTAAGTAAACATACAACATTGAATACCAAAGCAATAAACCCTAATTAACTAGCATACAAATCTGAAATTGACATATGATTAGGGTTAGAATCTTTAACTTGATTGTTATGTAACAATAACAATCACAAACCTCCTTTGATTTTGACTCTTG